AATTATTGAATGAGTGGACGAGGAATATTCTCTTCGATAGCTTCTTCATCATCAGGTTCTATAGTGATATATGGGTTCACGATGTCAAGTTCTGGTTTGAAAGGATTTGATAGGTCACAGGATTAGTTATGAGGTGACATCAGTTAGGGGACCACTGGAAAGCCAACATAGAGTAATGGATATCTGTTTTCTTCCAGTTTGGGACTCTTCATCAGTATTCACCCACCACAGGAGTGTGAATCCAGGACTTTCCAGTTACAAGGCTAAACTCGTAGACCATTTATAGTCACCGGGACCCCACTCATTGGCGCGTAAATTGCAACTTCTACCAATTCGTGACATTAGCGCGACTGTCAGCAGCCAATGTCATCGTTAGCGAGTATATGTCCTCACTCCCGACAGGGTGGACGACACCCGCTGGGCATAACTTCCCACTAGAACTCTAGTCAACTAACTTCGTCTTGTAGCCAGTCACCAGCGAGCCTTATGGGTGATTTGATCGGGTCCCAGTGACTTTGAATGGTCTACGAGCTTGACTGGTAACAGTAATGTCCTGGTTTCGAATCCCACCAGGGTGAGTGCGTACTGTTAAAGCGTTCAGAACAACAAGGATGCAACAGGTGGTTGTAAATTTAGCTGCTCCTGCGGAGAAAGCTATATAGGGCAAATAACTAAACAGCTCAACAAACGTATCAATGAGCATCTTCTTTAATGGTTCGGAAAAGGTCAAAATAAAATCTATAAGAAGTTCTATTTTGCCTCATTTGACTGATGATAGCGGTCACCAATTGGATAGGAGAAATGCCTTCAGAGTTATCTCTCGGCATTCAGTCGAACCTTTCGAACGGAATTCAAACTCGCCTTATACACATAGTCGAAGCCGTGGGAATCAATTCGGCAGCACGACTCTAGTCTTTGCATACTGAAGAAGTTCGTTCTATTTGTGTATCTCCCTTGGCCTAGGTAAATTCTAATCAGAAGAAACCTCCCACCCTATCTTATTCTCCACTTCCTTCGTATTTTTATGATATTTATTTAAAATCTGATTATCTGTCCACTTCACCTACCTTTAGTATAACGTAACTTTTAAGATTTGACCTAATTCATCGATTAATTGAATTGTCTGAATATACACATATTACTTACTTTGTTATTCTTATCGCCCCACCTGTATAAACCTCATTATAAATATTTTGTTATCATGACAATCACAGTTATTACTAACGTCCAAAACAATTAACACATTATTATTATAACTTGACCTACAAGCTCTTTGTCACTGGTTGAATTTTTATATATAAATCTATGTAAATTAGTGTAAAGTCTGAAGTAGATCTAATTGAAAACAACAGTAATGTTCGCTTATATGTCTTGTTCTAACATCAATAATGGAAAAATTTAAAAAAAACCTATTGCAAGTCTTAAAATTTTCAGTGTACATTTGGTAACTACTTAAACGTTTGTAAGTAGTTAAAATATAAATGGAAAGTTTGGTGGTCGTAACAAATATGTGAAGGGATGGGCATACTTCAAGTATTATGCAACAAGGATTCCTTAATTTTCAGTGGTTCTTCTCTCGATTTTAAGTGAAACAAAGTTTTTAAAGAAATTCATTTTCAAGATATCTATCTAACCAAACAGTCAATGGACGAATGAGCATAAAAGCAATCGCCTAGAGCAAATTTACTTCCCTTCCATTTCGGTTTCTATGAGAGGTGGTTAACTACAATTCAAATTTCCTTAGGTATTTGGTATTATGTAATTCGGTGTTACATGTATGAAGGAATACGGCAATCATTTCAAATTGGGTATGTTGAACTGTTTGTTTTAAAGGTGTTTGATCGATTTTTGTCTCACACAACTAGTATATCTTTAGTAGTTGGTTTGTAAGGATTAGATTTGTTTTTATGAGTTGGTCACGGATTGAAAATGTCAGTTAGAGAACCATTGAAAACCAGCACTGGAGTACTGAATAGCCAACTGTCTCATCCTAGTTTTTGGGAATCATCGGTAGTACGCACCCACCACACTGCAGGGGTTCGAACCCAGGACCGCCCAGTTACAAGGTAAGCTCGTATACCATTCAGCCCCGGGACACGGCTCAGTGACGAGTCCATGAATTCTAACTTCCACCAATGCATGATTTAGCGCAACCACTAACCAATGTCATTGGTGGGAGATCCATTGGGGTCCTTCTAGTCAAGTGTGAGGATGGATGAGTTAAGACACTTAACACTCAGTCCTGTGACAATCAAAAGACTCAACAACGAAAGAAGGTAAAACTAACATCATCTACAAAATAAGTTGCAACGGCTGTGAAAAGCACTACGTTGGCCAAAATGGAAGCCCCTCCTCTTCGTCTTCATATCCATGATCATTAGCTAGCTGTCAAAATACATGACATCCACTTCCTCGCTCATATCACTCACTGCATACAAACAACCACGGACATCAATTCGACTGAGACAACCAACGTTCAAATATTAGACAGAGAAAACACCAAGAGTGCCAAAGAGTTTTTAGAAGCCTATCTGGTATTCCACTGAATCATCAGTCAATAGACACTTCAAGACAGACAAAATTTACCGATCGACAAGAAGGAAGTCTCACACACACACAAAGGGTCAACAACTTCAGGTCAAGGTAACAATCAGCACCAGTACAAGTAGCCTAGAGGGTGTGAAGACATACCAAGATAACCAATCATGTTCAAGGTCATTCGCCAGGAGAGATGACTGATGAACGTGTGGAGAAGTCCGAAACCTCACTTCAAATTGAAGTGTGTATGCGTTGAAGACGTTGCCTAGTAGGGGGCAATGAAAGCTTCACAGCTATAAACTATCCAGTTAGCTTAGAGAATACAACTACATTAAAATCATCCACCCTGAGCTATCAATCTTCTTCACCATATCTGATTGAAGTGTCCTTGTAAAAATCAGACAACCCTGACGATTGTTTGGAGTCGAGCTCAACTAGCTTAAGTAACTAGCCAGAGTTTGAGTGGTTTGAAGTGACTTAGCTTTCTAAGTTTGAGTCATATTGGGTCACCTGCCGATGAACTCGGTCCTGAATGAGTGAATTGGCCATCAGGCTGTTTAGGTTATTTCAGTCTGACGGGTTAGCTGGCTAGCAAGTACTTACTACTTTTTGATATGACTGACATCTAACTACTCATCTTAACCAATCAGTAGTATATATATAATATCATCAAAACCAATTTGCACCATGATGGCGAGCTATCTAGAATGGTAGCTGTTATGTACTCGTCGCCAAATTATTGCTATGTACTGGTCGAGAATTTAATAGTCCTGACGCAAGAAGGCGGAAATCAGAAGACCACTAGGTTTGCGATGATACTTCTATTTTCCAAACACAAGGAGAAGCAATAAGTGGTATCACACCAAAGTAAAGTAAGTCACACAAAATTGTGAGAGCGAAATATATACATGTATGACCGTCCAGACAAGTGTGTGAACAAATCATTAGACAGTCTTAACATGAATGGCTAATTATAATGGAGTGTCGATCCAAATATACATAGCAAAAATATAGCAGACATGTCAGCAACCACACATATAGTATGGATATATGTCACCAAGCAACGGACTGTCAACAAACACTCATATTATATATAATATAAGGGGAATATACATTGTTACAGGAGACAGGTTCATCAAAGTGAAATGGTCACAGACTAAGCGAGCAAACAGAAAGAGAGATCACCATACACACACACATAAATATATATATATATGTGGATACATATCAGTAGCCACATTGCAAACCTGGCTGATAGAATTCAGTCTACACCAAAGAACGGACTAGACATATTGCACTAGTTACACTTGTGTCCAATCAAAATATCCACTACAGTCCTACAGGAGGTCAATCGCGAGCGAGTCCGAATAGCTCAGTGGTAACGTCTCTGACTGCAGCACTGGCTGGTGACGTGGTTTTGAACCTCAGAAGGGGAATGAATTGTTCCTTCAAGGCAGTTGCAGATTGATGTGTATCCACATATATATATTTATGTGTGTGTGTGTATGTTGGTCTCTCTTTCTGTTTGCTCGGTTAGTCTGTGACCACTTCACTTTGATGAACCTGTCTCCTTTAATAATGTGTATTCTCCTTATATTATATTATATATAATATGAGTGTTTGTTGACAGTCCGTTGCTTGGTGACATATATCCATATATGGTTGTTCACATGTCTGCTATATTTTGCTATGTATATATGGATCGACACTCCATTACAATTAGCCATTCATGTTAAGACTGTCTAATGATTTCTCCCACGCTTTGTCTGGAACATTTATATATATTCGCATTGACAATTTGTGAGAACTACTTTACAACTACTTTACTTACTTATCACTTTGGTGTGAGACCACTTATTTTCGTCTCCTTGTGTTTGGACAATAGAAGTATCATCGCAAACCTAGTGGTCTTCTGATTTCCACCTTCTCGCGTCAGGACTATTAGTTTCTCGACCAGTACATAACAATAATTTAGCGACGAGTACATAACACAGATACGCCTTGCTTACGAGTGCCAACTAGCGCGAAACCTAGGTCAGGTGAGGCTTCCTTTCAATTGCCTCCAACCATCTACTATATAATATCATCCAGCTATTCTGTAGCAGTCTATAACTGTCACAAAAACCTTTAATGGAAGAATATCTTAATTCTTTTTCTTTTTTATGAGTTTGATAAAAAGCGTAACTCACCTCTTCATCTGGAAAACATTGTCCTAAAATTTCTAACAGTAGTGCATTATCTTCAACAGCTTGTTGAAAATCGGTAAAATTCAATCTTCCATCATGATCCACATCCTAAAAACGCATAAAAGAAAAATCAATGATTTCTATTGATTATTTCTAATTACTCATCATATAAAAAGGAGGGAGGATTAAATATGGACACAATGAGAGAACTATGAAAAAAGGTTACTTCCTTCACTTAACTAGCTGGCTAGGAAGCATCGTTTCAACACCTTGGGCAGTCGGGAAGGATGGAGATATCAAAGCTAGACAGAATCGAGAAGGCAAGGTACACACCTTCATCAATCTGAAATCTGTTTGTAAATCTTCTGCAATCTGCCTCAGCATAAAGAACAAGATGTGGATTCTGTTCAACACCAATGTTAAGTCAGTTAGTCAGTCAGTCAGTTCTTCTAAACGGGTTAGAAACTTGCACTGAGCGTCAGTAACGAAAAGGATTTCCAACAGCCTCATGAAGATCTTTATCAACAGTTGTCCACTCCACTGGTTGACTTCATACTTAAGATCAAGTGGCGGCGAAGTTTAAGAATAGCGTCCCAAAACCTTCAACGCTCAAATGACCTTGAACGCATGCTAGTCGTTGGCTAACGGTTCCTGTCATTATCATAGCTGAAATATCAACCCTATTCATCAAATAAGTAGCAAGTTTCACCCAGATAACACTTTTATTACTGTTTGGACAATGTGTTAACATCTCGTTAGGGTTAGGATAGGGGTTAAGGCGAGTATTGTGGTTAGGGTTACGGTCATTGTGTGCGTCGGTGGCACAATGGTTAGGGTTAGGGTTACGGTTAGGTTTAGGGTTAAGGTTAGAGCAGCGATTAGGAATAGATTTTTCGTTTATTTCAAGTTCTTTTATTATCCTTATTTCCCTTGTATGTAGTCGCCAATGCTCTTACTGGAACCATAGTAACTAAACCGAGGGCTTAGGAGAGGACTATACAGCAAGAGAAGAGAGATGAACCATTCCTAAAACAGCACACCTTCAGTCACTTTGGTGAATACATCTACAGAAACTAGTCCAAATTAGCAACTGATACTCTTCATCGCAGCTGGAACGTATTTTTAAGTCATATCAGAGAAATATAATCCGTTTAATGTGTTTTCATGCATTTTCTTGTGAATATAAGTCATTTTTCGTGCAAAATTTCCTCATTTTTATGATTGGCTGCCTGAAGGTCACTCGTGCGTTCGCATCCCTTGGGACGCTATTGTTAAACTTTGCCCAAATGGCTAACCGGTCGGCCAGAAAGAATTAGCAACAAGAAACTCTGGTTGGGAACAAGCCAACAAACAAGAGCCGATTACTCAAAAAATATACAACTTTCATGAATCACCTTTTTCATGTTTAGAAAACTCTATTCTCTCATCTAAACACGACTCACCCTACTTTGTTTTTTTTCTTTCCTTTTCTCTATTGGCCATTAGATAAGACGTTTTCTTTAGTTACGCAATCTGCTTTTTTGTTATGCTCTTTCTAGCTAAATCTTGTTTCTATACACACACATATATACGCAACCCTGTTTTTTGGTTTCCAAGCCTAGTTGTCTAATTATTCTATAAATAGTCAGTGTTTGTAACTCTTAATCACTTAAATCATTCCGGACTAATGTTACTTCTACTCCCTACCAACCAATTACTACTTCTTGTGATCGTGGAAAAGTATGTTCAAATCTTTAATGTAATTCATACATCTTTTATCGTTCAGGTTTTAACCAGTTGAGAAGAATCCTTGATTAAATAATAAAAGATGAGCTCATATTATCCTGGTACATACAATTGTTGTTCTTGCTTTGTTCAAGCCATCTGATTGGTCGAATCAAGGTCACTTGACTTTGATGTCTATTGTTTACTCTTGTCGAGTTAGGATTAAGGTCAGGGTGAGGCTTGTCGAGAGTAAATAGTTGTCAATCCTCTAACTGGAACTCATGCTAATTCAATCAAGGTCTTTCAGGGAAGATTGAAAAATATGATAAGAGCGATAAATGAGTCATAGAAAGAAGTCATCATCTTCAGTTACCTCGGTGAATACATGCAAATAAAGTGGTCTAACTTGAAAACTAATACTTTTCATTATAATTTGGAGGTATTTTAAAGTTATGTCAGGGAGGGAATCTATCCTATTTGATGTATTTCTCTTGTAAATAAACATCGTTTTTATGCAAAAACCTTTGCAGTTCCTCATTGGTCGGCTCAAGGTTATCCGCGCGTCCCCTTTCCATGGACCGCGTTATCATCCACTTTGCCTACTGCACTAATGAAGTACACAAATATTTAATAATGTTGTAAAGGTTTAAAACAAGTAGCCAGATTAATTCTTACCAATCGTTTAAATGTGATTTCTACTAATTCTCTGACTCCTTCATCAGGATCTTCGTCTGTTGGTTGCTATAGAAATAAAAAATAAACAGAAATGATAGAAAATATTAGGATTGGCATCCCCTTGTTTTTAAAATTTACACTTATAATTTACTATGTCACTATTAGAAGTATTAATTTCTATACTTTCAGGAAAAATTAGGCGTTAAATTAAGAGTTTTCAAGGGGGCAACAGGAAAGGATAAACACCACAGTCAAATGACCTTGAACCAACCAATCAGATGGCTGCCCAGCATTACAAATGGATGTTTTTCATAATTTCCGTCGTAAGTTTTACCATAACTTTAATCATAACCCTACCTAAATCCTATCCTAAACTTAAATCTGAATCAGGATGGGACTTGCAATGAGAAGACTATGAAAGGCATCCATTCTTAATGCTGAATGATTTGATTGGTTGGTTGGTTCAAAGTTGTTTGACTTTGGTGTATATTTTCTATAGTTTGGTTAGTAAGGGTTAGTTTTGTTTTTACGAGTTGATCACGGATTGATGATATCAGTTAGAGAACCATTGAAAACCAGCTGTGAGAGTCCTGAACAGCTGTTTCATCCTAGTTTGGGAATCATCGACAGTACGCAGTTCTGTTGCCGAGGCAGCCACATAGGGTTTCAATTTTCGGCTTCAAAATCTCAACAGCAGTATCGTTTTCTTCACTGGATGGTGTTACTAGCTTCACAGCCTAATTTTTCATTTCTCTACCGGCTAAACGAAGTTCAGGAATGCGTTGGCTGGGATTCGATCCCAAACCACTTGATTGGTTGGAGAGCAATCTACCATTAAACGACCAACGCACAAGTGTGTGATAGAGGTAGGATTCGAACCTATACCCTTTTCCACCAGCGAGAAATTATGTACTGACATAATTTCAGAATAAATAAATATACAGGGTTAGGTGTAGCTCTTCAACCCTATCTAGATGAATTGATCAAGTTATCTAAACTTTAAAGTGTGGAAATTCACTCCATCAAGTACTGTAGTCGATACACACAGGTTCATTATAACTTGTCTAGTTTATAATAGACTAAATTGAATTTAACATAAAGACTATTATTATCAAGCAAGATGATCTAGGTTTCATAGTTAGTCAATGATCTAAAAGCTGTAGCACAATATCACGCGGTGACAGCTCTCAGTTTTACGCGCCCCCCCTCCTCCCTCTATGGACAGAATCATCAATGAAACGTTCACCACTTTATATAGATTTACGGTGAGGTGAAAAGTAGGAACTGTGTCCAGTCAGATAGCCCTTATTTCAAGAAGGGATCATATTTTCAACAAAACATTCAAAGAAAGAACTTGTGCATGATTCCGTGTAAGTTGAACCGAACAAAAGAGGAAAGAATTAACAGTCTAATATCTCTTCTACTCATATAATATCAAAGTCTGAGAGCAGATCTCACCATGGTGTTCAAAAAATTGCAAGAAATGACTATAGGCCTCCTATACCTTCTATTTTTCTTTCCATCAGACAGGAACGTCTCAAAGGGTAGACTAGAAGAGTTCAATAGCCAAGGAGGAACTACATAGCGGTGAAGTACTGGTCCTCATTTTGAATTTTTGACTTTCGATATCGACTCCTAGAAGAAGAAGTGGAATCTGTACCGTTAGTCATGTCGTCCAATAGGGGATCACAGATAATTCCGGATACTTATTGCGGTAAAAATTAACAGAGGCTTGAACTTTCCTATTTGAATATAGAAGCTCTCAGTTCGATTGATCTTAAATTTTTTGACGGATAGAATTGAGAGAAGCCTTTAGGTGAATTAAAGGCCAGGTTAGAGAAAGGCGAAAAAGACCTCAAGCTAATGGGTTTTCGGGTGATGGTGCTGAGACCTCTCTCCATAAGCCAGATGAACAGTTAGGTGTTCCAGTGTGCTATATGATGAACGCATGTAGCCTTAGGAATAAGCTGGCCGAATTAGGAGAATTATCTGAAAGACTACAACCTGATGCAATTGCTATCACTGAGACACGGGTACAACTGCATTAGAGAGGACAGTGTAATTAGTCGGAAAAGTGGCAGGGTTGCCCTGTACATCAGCTATGATATAGGGATTAGGTCAACGCTGTCAGAAGCACATGATAGCGGCACTAGTGAAGCCGCAAGTTGTATCATTAACTTGAACAAGGGCAATTTAACGATCGGGGTTATTTACAGAAGTCCTGCTGGTCAAGCTAATGACTTCTTTCTAAATCACTTGAGGGTGTGGAGACGTAGAAATAGGTGTCTGGTTGTTGGTGACTTTAGCGCTCCACATATTAATTGGGGGGGGGGAATTCGAATTCACTAGTTTGTATACCTGTTTCAATAGGAGCCCACATACTGACAGTGCTTGAATGTGCACTCGTGCAACACATGCATACACCAACACGGTATCACTCTGAACATGATCTGCCTACTCTAGACTTGGTACTAACACACTAAAAGGAGGACGTTGGTAACATTAGGTGCCTTCTGCTGCTTAGCAGCAGTGACCACGTCATCATTACTTTTATGCTTAAGATTCATTCTCTCGTATACAGGTCAACATATGCTCGTCCAAACATTTGGAAGGCGGATATACCGGGAATCCCGAACGCAACAGCTGTAGCTGACTGGTCAATTGATACAGGTCGGACTGTCGAGGAAGCTTGGGTAGGATTTAAGAATACACTAGATTGTGTCACTTCACCTTTTGTACCTTGGTACACTCCTCGAAAGCTATCGCACAAGCCATCTTGGATTACTAGTGAAATAAGGAGGCTATTGAGACGGAGGAAGAACTTATGGGACCAATTTATTATGACAGGAAGGAAAATTTCCAGAAGGACTATCGCTAACTTCGAAATCTCTGTAAGTATGTGATTGACAAAAGTCGTATAGAGTACGAGAGACAGCTAGTGCTGGACTGCGTTCATTACCCAAAAAGGCTGTACTCGTATATTAAACGTAGGACTAAAACTAACAGTGGTAAAGCGTCACTCATAAGCATTAGTGGAGAAGCGGCTGAGTCAGACGAAGGAAAGGCTGAAAACCTCTCTGAATACTTCTGTGACGTCTTCTCATCCGATCATACCACCCAGGGATATGGCGAGGTCACTGCCATCGCCACTCAGATGCCCTCAATTGTGGCAGAGCACACAAAGATCTTCAAGCTACTGCCTAAACTGAAGCCAGGTAAATCACCTGGGCCCGATGGAATTCACCCTTGGCGGATATAAATATATATATATATATTTCACTTACGGAGATTTTCTGAATGTCTTTAACCCAGGCTAAGCTACCCAAGGACTGGAAGGATGCTATTTTAAGCCCTATTTTCGAAGAGGGGAACAGGCAATCGGTATCTAACTACCGGCCTGTAAGTCTGACATGCATTATAGCAAAGGTATTGGAAACAATTATAAGGGATCCGCTATTATCTCATGTGGAAAAACATGGCTTGCTGGCAGTGGAGCAGCATGGATTGCAATCAAGACAATCCTGTCTGACAAACCTACTATTGGCTAGGGAAGACTGGGTTGAGGCCAGGGATAAAAACCGTCTGTTGGACGTGGTTTTTATCGATCCTAGTAAGGCATTCGATAAAGTATCCCTTTTAGGTCTCCTTAGTAAACTTTAAGGTTTCGGACTAGTCCACTGCCTATGTGAGTGGTTTAGGGATTACCTAACGGATAGAAGACAGGAGGTTAGAGTTAACGGTGTACTACCAAGATGGAAAGCTGTATCCAGTGGAGTGCCTCAGGGAACTGTACTAGGCCCCTTGCTACTCCCACTATGCGTCAATTAACTACTGGGATTCTTACTTCATCTTCGTTATTATTTGCAGACGACATTAAGATCTGGAAAACTGTAAATAACAACGAGGACAGGTCGGCCCTACAAACTGATCTAGATAAATTAGCTGAGTGGTCGAACCTATGGAGTTTGGAAATTGATTCTAGGAAAAGCGTGGTAATGCGCTTAGCTCAGAAGTTTTACACCTCGTACTCTCTAGAGGACAGAGAACTACCTGATGCTAACGGACAGAAGGACCTAGGAATCATTGTCAGCAATGATTTGAAAACAACTGCAAATTGCAATGCAGGTGCAGCTAAGGCTTTTCGAATACTCTGGGGACTTCGAATGGCTTTCAAACGATTAGACGAGGGTATGTTCCAAATACTCCACACAATATATGTCAGGCCTCATCTAGAATACTCCATACAAGCGGCGAGTCCATGCTTCAAAAAAGAGGCACATATCCTGGAAAGAGTAGAGAGTAGGAACGATATTAGTTAGTAGTATCTCACACCTTACTTATGATAAGAGGATGGTGCATTTAAATCTCTTTCCGTTACCATACCAAAGGGCGAGAGGCGACTTAATTTCAGCATACCGTATACTTAAGCGTGATTTAGCAACTGACTTTTCTAACCTTTTCTCCCCTTCTAGGAGACATTTACGGGGTCACCGCAAAAAGGTGCTCGAACCGAGGACGATTAAAATACGTGCCGAATTTAGATTCTCTCACAGAGTGGTCAACGACTGGAACTCCTTATCTGATTCAGTAGTATCAGCTCCGTTGGTGAATGCTTCCAAAGAGAAGTTAGATCTCTGCAGAGATATATTTTGCAAGGATTAAACCAGGCCACAAGAGCCTTCTATCCTTATCACCTAAATCTGACTATAGGATTCAGTCTTAGTTTCAAGCGTGCTGGTAAGACACGTAAGTGTTGTTGCATAACGAAGACGAGCACAATGGAACGGGACATTCAAAGGAGGTTTCCAAATCAAGACCATATTACTCAGAACAAAATGCCAGTGATAATAGCAAAATGTAGTTTGATATATATCAAATGTTCACAAAATGTTCATATGAACATTTGTGCACAGTTGATACACAACTAATGTATCTTTTCCTACGAAAATGCTGAAAAAATAACCGAACAAACGTTCCATTGGACCATAAAAACTTAAGGATTTGTTTAAAACTAAGGGAAAATTACTTTAATGAGTGAGTACTTCAGTAATTGGAACATTTCCTCCCTGGTTATACGACCATCACTGTTGAGGTCGTAGACTTCAAAAGCAACTAAAAGAGTTAGCATGTTTATCAAATTTTACATTTGGTTTTTTCTAACAGTGTTCCTCTGAGAAATGTTGAGAGACCCATAACCCATTCTTGAGCATTAACACCACCGTCAAGATCTCTATCAAAAACACGAAAAACTGAAGCGATGATAACAAACATCACACAAACTTCTGTCAATCATAACATCGTCTGTCATCTTAAATGTATGATGTAGTATTTCTCGAAACTTCATTCGATCTAACTTTCCAAAAGGCTTTTTGGGATCGAACTTCACAAACATATTAAGCAAGGCCTCACATTCTGCACGAGTGACTAAATTGAATAATTGGGCAACATCTTACAGTTCACACTGCTGGCAAGCTTGTTTGTGAGCTTATTGATAGCTTTTCTAATAGAAATTTCAAGCATATTATGTTGCGCGGTTTTGTGTCCAGGCAACAGATTTAGAACATCAACGTTTTAAACAACATAAAATATTCAGTGTTTTGTGCAGACCAACCAACCTTTTCGTGAGAGCATATCAGGATCTCATTGAAGACAGTTCAGCCATTTACTTAGCGTAGTTCTGATAAATTTTTAAATTTACGCTCATGAGGAGAGTGAGACAAGTGAAGTTTACAGAAGATTAATACTTTAATGCTGACACTGAAACATCGTAATGATCTCATCCAGTCGTATCAGTAAATGTCTTAGTGGCTTTGTCAAAGAAAAACAGTTTGGATAGGACAAAAATGGTTTGATACTTGAGATGGTTAGATACATTGAATGGTAACATTGCTTATAATGAAACAGCAGAAGGACAAATAAACAGCTAAAAGAGTAGTGAGTAGATAAATTAATACTTAGAGGATAGCTAGAAAGAGTAAAAGAGATGGGTCTTCGCACATAACAATGATAGGGAAGATGAACCAGCTAAACAGCTAGCACCTATCCGGTGTTGTTGTAGGGTAAACGCTAGATGTGGGTACACTCCTATTTCCTCGGAGTGTCTGTTAACTTAATGTTACCCAGTTTTTGTTCCTGATTGTGGGTATTGTGGTTTTTGGTCAGGTTAGTGGCTGGATACCAAGTCACACGACTTGCAAGGTCACTATGACCGCGGATCCTGATACAACATACAGTGTGGGGGGATATTTTTCACAGTATGTCAACCAGAAAATAATAGTAGTATGCTATAATGTACAGAGAGTTATTCAGGGGGGAGAATCAGACAGAGGTCTAAATATTGACCCAATATAATTTAGCAGGCATTATTTGAAAAAGACAAAATCTACTGATATATGTAGACTCTCGTGTAATGCATTCCAGCAGCCCCAAATTCGAAGAAAATTTGAGGTGGCAACACAATTGCTTGAAAAGCTCACCAGTTCCCAGTCTTAATTATTAAAATCGGAATACCATAGTGCTGCTGAATTTTTTCGACGAACATGGAAAGACAGCTCCGGTGAAGACAATTTTCTATTCGACGAAATCATCAACTAAGCTGTACATTCGTGTATTTATAATAAATGGGTAGGAAAGTTCCAGAATAATTTCTGGAATACAGAAAGATCGAGTCACAGTGCAATCTGTCGTCGTACCAAGGAAAGCTGGTGTGAACCAACTTAATTTTTGGCGAACCACTTCTTGGTTTTAAGGTAAATGCTCCTATTTTCATTCAGCTTCTATGTGGTTTGTTCCGCCGTCCAACTACTGTGAACTTCGACTAATTCAGACAGGTGCGATGCGTTTGCATTACACGTTTCGGTAGGACCGCGCTGCTGCTATGAATGGAGTTAATCCTTTCATCTTCTATCTTTCAGGTGTAGATGAAAAGGGGATAATGATATGACCAGTGGAGATTAATATTCTAAAAACGGTAAACGAGCTAACCAGGGGATAGATAATAAAATTTATTAATTATAAAGTATGTGAGCGAGTAGTTACAGTAGTCATATGAGTGAGATTAGAGAGCATGTGGGATGTTAAACGATGATTTTGTGTCATACCCATTGACAGATTGCGATCTGTGAGTTTCAAGAAGAAATTCTATCCAGAAACAGTAATTGGGTTACCGCACGGCGATCCACACTCTGCTTGCAGATGGTGATTTTTAGGACGGAAACTTCTGGGAGAAATGGAACGGAGACAATTTCGAGTCTTCGTTCCCCGATGCGTGATTCTTCGTAGGATGCCACAAAGTAGTGTTCAATATCTGGACGGTGGGATATCTCTGTTTAGATGGTTCTGATCACTTGTAATCTGGTTGGCTGACGGTAGGTAAATGTGCAAAGCAGTAGTTTCCACGGCCTTTTATCGTGTGATACGTTCTCGAAAGACATTATGCGTGATTAACAGTGCACGTAATTGAAATGTCACTCTATTTTCCTGTCCAGCGATTCTTCGTAAACTCCCATTTGAGGGTCTTCTGGGTACCGTTTAATTTTTTGATTTCAGCTTGATTCCACGCCGTACTGCAGGGGTCGAACCCTGGACCATGTGCATGGTCGGCGAGAATCCTAACCACCGTGCCACCGGCGCCCAACAACTGATAAGATTACTTCCCTATCATTGAATGCTAACTCTGAGACACCTCGAAGGTTTATATTTCTCGACAACGCTAAAATAATTGAGTCGGAAGTCAGCGTGTAAACTATCTGAATATGCACAATCCTGATCTTTAAACAAGTAAAAAGACAACCGTATCTCTTACTTGAATCCACTCTTTTCTTCGCTCCAAGAATTCGAAGCAAGTCGATGCCGATACACCCATAGGGATAATTTCCTTTAGACACTTTCCATGTATTGCCATGATTTGTTGGGATAGATGAGCATTTTTCCGTCTACATATCACACATTTATCAAACACTTTCGAAAAGTAGAGCCTCCTTGTATTATCCGATATATCTCTGATGCATGAAAGTACTTATAGGGAACCCTTTTGACCCTCCAGGCCGTGCTAGTGTATCAATGAGAGCGTGGTGACTGGCTAATTGCTTCGAATTTAGCCTGTGTCACGAGTTTCACACAATGCTTCTAACATCTGTAGACGTCCACTTACTCCGGCAACTCTCTTTGAAATTATAGGAGCTAATCTCTCTATCCTTGGACTGAAATCTGTGAATTCACTACCATCTCCCTCAATAATGTTACCCCATGCCTCCCACCGTGCCGTCTCCAACTTCAACAATTCTGAATTACGTATGTCCAACTCTCAATGTTTTCACGTTCATGTCGCTGTATGCTGAAGGATACGTGGTTCTCAAATGCATGATATTCCTAGAGAACTATCTGGCAGCCTCCATTAATTTATATTAAGAAGAATAATATTTATATAGTGGATGCAGACCCGTATACCTCCCTTCCGTGCACATCAACTTGAAGACGCCTTCATATATTCGTGGCCTATCTTCTGGACCAGGCTATACATAGTCTGCAAGTCGCGAGAATTCTGGACCCTTCCACCACCTATTCTTTCCTATATTCGTATCAGTAACTCCCATTCATGTTATGTCAGCGGGGTTTCTTCTAGACAATACATAACTCCATTAGGCGACACCTGTTGGTTCAAAAATTCCAGATACTCTATTAGCCAAAATACATACGTATTATTTTGGCTGCCTAAGTATAAAGCATATCAATGTCATGGAATCGGTCCAGAATGTTTCAGTATGCATAAGATATCCAGATAGTCAGGAGGCCAGCAGTGAGCTCTAGACTTGGAATGGAAACAGTCCTTAAATGTGCGACTGTAAACTTCTCTATAGCGAGATGGAGGCCCATATTGTCTCTAAAGTAGTTCTGGTGTAAACAGAAGCAACATGTCCAATATCAGGGACGTCAGAGAAGTCTGACATCTATCTTTTGATAGCTTAAGTGGGTGTACGACGGGATGTTGACCCAGCGATCTCACATTATTAAACAACTTCTGTTGCGTGCGTTATTTGACTAAACTCGCGTACACGTTATTCTAGTACTTCTTCCAGTTTATTATTGTGTCCTAACGTTGTGTTTGCTCGACGTCCACAACGTAAATCAAAAGGCACTTGAGGAGGAGTACGAACGTGTATTATAGCAGCAGTCAAATTTCAAAATTGTGTCAAGGTAATGTTCAACAACAAATTGACGAACGCTTGAAGAATATATAAAATCGGCCTGTGTAAGCATATAATACAAGTATACAAATTAGATTAAAAAGCGTGTTTACAGTTGGTATAGGGGTGTGGTGGACCTTTTACTCTCTTAGCTTAGTTACCCAAATTTAAATAGAAAATAAAGTACCAAATCAGTTTAGTTACGGAAAGAATGTATTAAAGTTTGGTTACTTGGGTTTACAAAGATCCAAAGTCCACAATAAACGTAATAGACTCCAGGTGCTGCGGGAAGACTGCTCCAGTACTAATTCTCCAATGTTGACGTTGCCAGAGGTCGACCAAAGTACTAGGAAGAACTACGGTGCTCCTGCAAAAATTTGAGATAGAAAGCAGGCGATTAAAATTGATCGACGGCAGTTGAGATGGTGGAGAAGACGGAGAGCCGAAGGCAGAACTATATATTTATTCAAAACCCGAGGTAAAGTCCAAAGTACAGAGTTTATGGTTAAAACAAAGTGGTGTACGATATGTTCATATTTACATAGTAGTAAAATTTGGATAAGTTTATTTTTGAGGACTCCACAGGGGTACTACACTTCTTCCACTGTTAACTGCGTCTCCCAGTTAGTGGGTCGTTCCAATGCTACAGGGAATAGATAATGTACCAATAGTCGATGTGGATCACGGGCAGATGACAGCGCACCTCTTCGAATAACTGATCCATTAACATCCACCACGTTAAATGCACAGTTATCATAGTTGATAACCTGTTGCAAGTATAATATGAGTAGGTTTGGTAGTATATCAGCAGATAAACCTCGTACACTGGGTGCTGTGTCTTCTTGACTATACGCTTCAAAACATCCAGGTCGTTCAAGACCTATTTGGTTAAACGAAAACCAGCTTTAGCCAAGGCTTAGCTAACTCTTGATGCAAGGGTAAGTGCAGACTTGTGATTGTCCAAAGGTGTTAAACAACCAGTTACATAGAAACAACAATCGATGCCATCAGTAAATCACTAGAATTCAATATGGACACAACCTTACATAGAGAAAATTAGCGCAAAATGGAGAAGGCATGGCATTAAATGGACGAGTCGTCATTCTGTATTCTGAAGTTCCACTATACGGATCATCATCAAACCACATGAATCTTAATTTATATCTATCGTTTATTGTCACTTTCATTGCTAAGAATGTTTTTCACATTACCTAAGTGACAGCATTCGAAGACTTTTTGAATCTCAGCAATAACCTGACCAGTGATCCCACACAGCCGGAACAACTATATAAGTTGTCATCCAGAGACACACAATGTGTAAGTCATTCCTTCGAT